GGATTCAAATGCCACCAATTTGGATCCACATGCCACCAATGTAACTTTTACCTAGGCAGGCGTGTGGCACCGCATTCACATCCGTACGCATTTCTATAAGTGTGTGTGTGTACCCCTTGGAATCACAGGATCCTTTTGGATTGTTCTTGCTTCTAACTTTTTCGTTTTACAGCAGGGGGACCATCCATGTACTGTGTGCGATGGTCCAACGAAGCGGCTACAGTACATGCGGATATCACGGCTGATCACCGTGACGTACCTGCTTTCCTCGAACTTTTGAACTTTGGTAAAGGGCTAGTGAGTTCCGCAGACATGCACGTCACGCCGTCACCCCGTCGGTCCGTTTTCGCCTTGAGCTTTTGGCCTTCTTTCCTCTTGAAGTCCTCCAGGTTCCCGTGGTTCGTACATGTACCCTTAGGAATTGGAACCCTAGGCCGGCGTGTGGCACCGCTTTCAGTTCAGTATGCATATCCATAAGTGTGTTTGGCCACGTGCCAACCCGGGATGAGCCCGCAGAGTGCCTCCCGTGGGCCCGTTGAACGGGGGTTTGTCGAACGTATCCACTGCCCGGATACAGAGCAGCTCGCAGCGAGCGTAGGTGGCCTAGGCCGTACGTACGATGATTTTTGTCTCAGAATAATTCCAAGTTGGCTCACGCCTTCACGTGACCGTAGCGGTCAAAGCAGCCAGCCATTTCGGCAGGGCACAAGGTGACCACAGCGGTCAAAGCCAGTTTAAGGTTCATTGGAACCTGTCGGCGACTTAGGTGCACATACATCGTACACACCTTAACGAGGCAGGTCTTCCTAGGTTGCTATAATGAGGTTTGGTTTCATCGGTTCCCGTCCCCTCCATTTGGTTCCCCTTTCACCCTTTTCCCTTCACATACTTCTTTTCCTCTTTCTTTTCATGTCTTCCCTTGCTTCATGTCCTTTCATCTCACTCCTTTCGTTCTTTTGCGCGTACAACGGTCCGGGCCTTAGCGTGTACGCGCACATCTACTTCCAACTCAGGTTTCAGGTCGCCCAGGTTTCGACAATGAGGTTTCATCGGTTGTCCCTGTGCATTTGGTTTCTCTTTCATCGCAACCACACACACTTTTGCCCCGTCGTCTTCCTTCTCATGTCTTCATCCTTTTGTCCTTGCTGCGCGCACATTTGCACATTCGTCCTAGCCTTAATTTTGCCTCCCGGGAGGCGTGTGTGTGTACCCCTTGGAATCACAGGGATTCTTTTGGATTGTTCTTGCTTTTAATATTTTCGTTTTACAGCAGGGGGACCATCCACGTACTGTGTGCGATGGTCCAACGAAGCGGCTACAGTACATGCGGATATCACGGCTGATCACCGTGACGTACCTGCTTTCCTCGAACTTTTGAACTTTGGTAAAGGGCTAGTGAGTTCCGCAGAAATGCACGTCACGCCGTCACCCCGTCGGTCCGTTTTCGCCTTGAGCTTTTGGCCTTCTTTCCATTGAAGTCCTCCAGGTTCCCGTGGTTCGTACATGTACCCTTAGGAATTGGAACCCTAGGCCGGCGTGTGGCACCGCTTTCAGTTCAGTATGCATATCCATAAGTGTGTTTGGCCACGTGACAACCCGGGATGAGCCCGCAGAGTGCCTCCCGTGGACCCGTTGAACGGGGGTTTGTCGAACGTATCCACTGCCCGGATACAGAGCAGCTCGCAGCGAGCGTAGGTGGCCTAGGCCGTACGTACGATGATTTTTGTCTCATCTTTGGAATTCCAAGTGGGCTCATGCCTTCACGTGACCGTAGCGGTCAAAGCAGCCAGCCATTTCGGCAGGGCACAAGGTGACCACAGCGGTCAAAGCCAGTTTAAGGTTCATTGGAACCTGTCGGCGACTTAGGTGCACATACATCGTACACACCTTAACGAGGCAGGTCTTCCTAGGTTGTTATAATGAGGTTTGGTTTCATCGGTTCCCGTCCCCTCCATTTGGTTCCCCTTTCACCCTTTCCCCTTCACATACTTCTTTTCCTCTTTCTTTTCATGTCTTCCCTTGCTTCATGTCCTTTCATCTCACTCCTTTCGTTCTTTTGCGCGTACAACGGTCCGGGCCTTGGCGTGTACGCGCACATCTACTTCCAACTCAGGTTTCAGGTCGCCCAGGTTTCGACAATGAGGTTTCATCGGTTGTCCCTGTGCATTTGGTTTCTCTTTCATCGCAGCCACACACACTTTTGTCCCGTCGTCTTCCTTCTCATGTCTTCATCCTTTTGTCCTTGCTGCGCGCACATTTGCACATTCGTCCTAGCCTTAATTTTGCCTCCCGGGGGGTGTGTGTGTGTGTATCCCTTGGAATCACAGGGATCCTTTTGGATTGTTCTTGCTTTTAATATTTTCGTTTTACAGCCGGGGGACCATCCATGTACTGTGTGCGATGGTCCAACGAAGCGGCTACAGTACATGCGGATATCACGGCTGATCACCGTGACGTACCTGCTTTCCTCGAACTTTTGAACTTTGGTAAAGGGCTAGTGAGTTCCGCAAACATGCACGTCACGCCGTCACCCCGTCGGTCCGTTTTCGCCTTGAGCTTTTGGCCTTCTTTCCTCTTGAAGTCCTCCAGGTTCCCGTGGTTCGTACATGTACCCTTAGGAATTGGAACCCTAGGCCGGCGTGTGGCACCGCTTTCAGTTCAGTATGCATATCCATAAGTGTGTACGTGCGTGTATGTTATCATCTCCTGCAGTGTACCTTGCGATGGCTAACAAGAACAATCACTGTCACAATGCATTCAGCGGCACAGTCTTGTCATGAGTTTAGTTTTGTCACTTCTAAATGCTTCAAATTTAGATATATAGCATAGGGGCATTGTCTGATGAGGGTAACTAATCAACACATAGCTGAGCTGTGTTTTGTGTGTGTTTTTTTGGGGCATAAATTTTAGTTGTACCTCAAAAGTTCGAATTGAAGTAGACAGTAGAAACTTAATTGTACATAAAAAGCCGGTTATGTAGCTAGAATGGTACGAGTAGCAGTAGCTTCATCTCATCTTCAAGAGGTAACTGGCATGCCTGCAGCACATTCTACTGCATGCAGAATAAGTTCGAAAAACTGTAAACTTTGGATGCCAAACCGATGACAAAAACAATAATGAACGGGTTTTCTCTATCTCTGCTGTTTCTTATCGTCTTCTTTTGCACGATATCATTTTCCCGGAGCTTGGCTCTAAGTTTTAGCTCCCACAACATCCTGTTTGTAGAAGAATGTATTTACAGCATGTTCAAGTTTATCAAGCCCCAGTCAATAATAGCGTCCTTGATCCACTCCCACCTCTGACCAAGGTTGTACTGACACTCCGTTGGTGTTTTTATTTTTAATTTATTAGTTTCTTATTCTCCTAAGTGTGAGGGGTTCTTGCTGTAACTGCCTCGTCTCCGGTTGTCTTTGGGTGAAAAAGAGCGTTGGCCACGCGGTTTCCAGCTGCACAGGGTGATCTTCCAAGGATCTTCCGCCGTTTCTTTCTCCAGTTTAGGATGAGATAGGGTGAGTATACTCATTGATATACGCTGAAACACAGTATATATATTTTTGCCGCCCAATCCTTTAGCCTCTGCACAGTTCCAAACACCTGTTGCTTGTACATTCAGGAAAACCTTGGGAAACTGGAAGATCTCATTTTCCCTTCTCCTCTATGTGACCAACACACTGAGCACCTGACAGAAAAGCAAAGTCCCATCTTTGGGGCCCCGTGTTCGGTGGTGGCCAGTGGCTTAAACTGGCGTCATTGGGAAGCAAGCGAACTGTGGATCATTGGGTACTGAACCATGGCTACTGGCAAATCAATTGACGACTATGCCAGTGTATTTGGGGCAAGAACGCAACCAAAAGGCTTGGACCATGATTGTCATAGCGCACTGGTGCTTATATATATACACTGTATGTATACTGTATATTGTATGTATGGTATCAGTAGCCACCTGCATTGGCCTGCTGGTTCTCTAACTCCCGATTCTGCATGCTTGGGTCAGAGTGTGCGAGGTAGGTAGCTGGGCACTTCTATTTGCCTTCTACGTAATGGCATCCAGTGATTATCTCCCTGCAAAGGCCGACAAAGGCCACTGCAAGTCCAAGTCCAGTGTTTACATCATCCTGGTGCTTCTTTTGTGGTTGCCTAAAGCTTTGTGTGTTTGCCAGGTGAGATTAAACAGGGCTTCTCAAGGCCAACCATACCCATACCCAGCTGAGGTTGCATACTCTATTCTTCTCAAGTACCGGACAACATAATTTGGTGTCTATTGCTGTTGTCATTGGCCAATTTGGGTGCTCCGGGTTTTCCATGCCTCCACTCAAGCTGCATTCTGTTGTATCTAGGGCTTCTGTCTTTCGCACAACGTGTTCCACGAAAACCATTGACGACATTCCAAGTAGGCCAATTGCGGAAGCTTCCAGAAGAATGTTTATGGGGGTGTGCCTTCACTGCTGTAGCTGGCCGTAACCTGTTCCCACGCAGCAGTGCCTGCTATGGAGGAGGCTCAGGACATTCAAAGAAACCACCACAAACCAAGTGCCTAAGAATGTCCAAGAAACGAGCGGACGCATGAATCTATCTTTGGGCCTCTTGCGCTTGAGCCCTCTTTGGATGCCATCCACTTCATTCATGCACCAAACATGCACCTGGACCTCAATTTATCACTCTAACAATCCGAATGACATGATGATGGATGATATGGAGCCCAACAACCTTTGCTGTATAACCTGAAAGATCTGTCGACTTCGTCTTGGGAGCGGACAAAGAACCCAATGTGCCCAGAAAACGCTGCCGAATGGCAAAAGGGACCTGTTTGACTCGGTCTGCTTGAGATCATATTCACCTATGCGGCCATGTAAATGTCTTTCATTGTCTTTCTATCTTCTTTCTGGAGGTTGCTCACATGACTAGAGCTCGAAGTCGACAAAGTGTTTGTTCCTCGCAATGACTCCTCCCACAAAAAACTCGCATTTCTTCTTGAACTTCTCTCATGCTATTTTTCTTGTGATTTGCCGAAGATGTCATCTGGCAGCCTTGACCCCATTCACAACTCAGGATGCCGCCGGCACATCAGGGAGAAGATCCGGCGCTGGCCATGCAATGGATCTCCCGGGTCATAAGGTTGCAAGCAGTAGGTTTAATATGGTTTAATGGGTCTAGGGCAATGGCTCTATTCCTTTCGCTTGTCCTTCGACTCTGGCAGGGCCCTTTCTCTGGGGTTGACGGAACAGCTCGAAGGGAAGGCAGGAGTTTTTCCCCGGACACCCTTGGCACTGACATTTACGCCCAGCAGCTTTCATTACGCTTTCCTCCTAGTGACTAGTGATGGACTCGGTGAATGGTCTCACCAAGTCACCAAGCACATAATTCCTGACAACTGAAGTGGGTGCCTAGTTCATGAAACGCACATAGATCCCGATGATTGTCGACATCTCTCTTTGCTGTGGGGTGGGTCTTCATGAAGAACACCTCGTTTCCGAAGTCAGGTCGCACCTTGGAACCAACAACCCCACCACCAGGCCTTTTGCAATGGACTCTCACGTCGACTGCACCAAGCTAAAGGTAAGGCCTGACTTGACCCGGATGTTTTGAGGAACTGTACAGCAAGCATGACAAGCACTGTGCCGCAGCTCACAGGCTTTGTTCACTTAAAAAACATTCACTCGCACCCTGCCAAGAGAGTCAACTAGGAATTTGGGCAGAAACCCATTGTGACTAGGGCTCTCGGCCGCCCACATGTGAACCAGCTCCAGCACTGACAGCCTCAGAAAAGAAGCGCATTCCAGTTACAATCGACGGATTCCTTTCAAGCCAACACTGTCAAGTCTCACGAAATATCATTTACAGTAGTCTTTGACACAGGATGACACAGGGTTCTTTGCAGTGGCCATGGTTTCTATTAATGCTGGAGAGCATAGATTCTTCCTTTCTGCCCTGTTTGGGATTCAATGTCCCAGGTATCCTCATATGCTCCACAGCTACGACAGTGTCAGAGTTGGCAATTGATTTGATGGTAGTGGAAGCAAAGGCCTTCTGAGCTAGCAAACAATCCTGTACCAAACGCTTTAGTTTTAGGTTCCGTGACTCAAAGACAGTGGGTGGGAATAACATGAAAGCGCATGACCAGTTGGGGCAAGCTACAACAAGCACCATCCTTGAGTCAAGGTCAACCAGGGACTTGGAACAAGCAAGGAATATTGGCATACCTTTCCAACGTGGTCCCCCTTAGGATGACTCACTCCTGCATACAGGCATCCGCCGGAAACGTAATACAATGCAAAACACATGAGGATCTGATCATGCCTACGTACTCCCAGGATCCATAGTGTTACTGTCTTCATCTGCCCGCCGTCCTACCAACAAACAACTGCCCTCCGTCCTACCAACAAACAAGTGCGGCCGCAGAAGTTGCTGGTTGTTTGTAGGCATCGCTACTAGTAACAAGGGCATCCCTACTAGTAGCTACTGTAGAAGCTACTAGTAGCAATCCCCTTGTTACTAGTAGCGATGCACCTTGCTACTAGTAGCTTCTTGTCATATTACATCTAATATTTCTGCAAGTTTTCACAACCCCAGCTCGTTCCTTTCTTGCTGAGGAGCACTTGCGCCCGCAACGGTCCATGCATGGTGGCGCCAACTGGGAGAGAACCGCGGGGTGACTGCTCCAAAAACTCAAAATCCGAGCCCGTAATCCATCTGTGAATGCGGACACTATCTATTATATATCTATATTATATATATGTATGTATGTATATACATTACAGGAAGATGCAGGAAGTTGATACTGTAACCGTTTTCTCAAAAAGAAAATATAGAGTGGGTTTGATCGGGGTTCAGCAACTTGGAGGAAGGGAAAACCACGTACACAGTACAGCATACACCATTGCATTCTTGTGTTATCCTAGGAAGAAAGCCACTATGCCTTGGGTTGGCTGGGCAAATTTACAATGCCGGCAAATTTACAATGCCCGTGCTTCCTTGCAGTGGTGCCAAAGTCCCAATACATTGATCGACAGCTACCTCCTCCCGTTGAAGCACACCCCAGCACCGGAAGCTCGTGGGCTGGCTACTCCAGGAAAGCACGATGAAGGCTGGTGTGTTCCACGATGGACAAACTTCTTCCGAGGTAAAGCTTCTATCATACCACTTACAAAGCATAGAGGTTCAACTGCTATTTAACTGCTACTTCTACTTCGTTCCACGGTTCAAATGTGGTTCAAATTGGGAGCTCCACTACTTGAAAGCGGTTCTTGCATCATGGGGTTTCAAGGAAGTAGTCGTGAGCATGTCTTTCAAATCATATTTGGCCTTGGATAGCCGGTCACCTAGGCAAACAACTTGTGACCTAGGTGGCTTCTCCTCCAACAAAAGCCACAAATGAACTTGTCTATATACAGTATACAAGGATATACAAGGTACAAATGTATACAAGCAGGTGAGCCCAATATACAACTGGTCGAGCGATGGGTTTCCTTTCTTCCAAAAACAAAGGCCCTTATTGCAAAGGCAGCTTTACCGTCAGTGCGAACAAAACCCACCCACCTGCCATAGAGATCAACATGACCCAACCACCCGCTGCCACCTCCCACAAAATCGCCCAGACTACCACATGGGTATACCTGGGTCGCCGGGCAGCAAAGGCAGGTGAGCCGTGGCTCCCGTACGAAAGTGTCGTCTAACACGGGATTGCCTTGGTGTCGTCTAAAGCGGTTGAGGTAACGTGGATCATCCAGTGACTCCCGGTGTCTTGTACTTGACTATGTGATCCACCCAGGGTCGCTCCAACACTAGGCCCCCTGCACCCAGAGCGGTACACGGGCAAGAACATGGGCTGCAAGTTCATACGCCTTTCAGAGCGGGTTGGCATGAACTGTGAGAGAAGAGTCGAAGGAATGGACACGACTGTATCGGACTTCTTGGTAGAGCAACATTCATGGACACTTGCATCCGGTGTAGGGCAATTTAGGGAATTGCGTGGAATTGCCGCGAAGTCTCAACGACTCCAACTTCCTGACATCAGGCGTCAAAACCTATCCATTCATTCCTGTTACTGTCTGGCTTGTTGTCCAGTGAGCCAAGACGACTTGAGGGATATATATATATATATATACATAGATGGGAGAAAACACGAGAAAGCTGTGTACTGATTGCATGTCGGACCAAACAAATGAAACATTGGGATGATAAGAATGTGCATACGATGCATAGATATGAGGTAAGCTAAGCCAAAACAAACTCAGCTACTCTACCAGGATGAATTACTGTAATGCGGTGATGTGCGTGGAACACAGGCAAAGTCAAACAGCGTTAGATCGAGTGAAGATGAAGCGAACTGAGTTAAATGATGTTGAATCATGTCAAAATGAGCTGTTGGTAAAACAATAACTAGGACAAAACGCGATTTGTTCGACCAGAAAGCAAAAAATTCGAGGAACCGGGTAACCGGCAGGAACGATTCTTCAGATTATCGGACTTGGTTGATGTCTCACAATTACTGGCAGTTTACAAAAGCAAGTGCAATGGCTGTCGGTTCGCTGAAGCCACAAAGGCAGTGCTGGCAACAGCATCAGTCAGTATGTTAGCCTTGCTGAGTAGCCCAAACCCAATAGTACCAATCCAGCACTTTGTCCAAATGCCGATATTGTAGGGCCTCAACACAGAGTGAGCATAGGTTAAATGCATTTGATTGATGTCTAAGTTTGCACGTGGACTCGGCGCCTTGAAACCCATGATGAGAGAAATGCAACTACAAGTAGAAAACTCAACCCTAACTAACCATATTAACACATCTGCTGCTCCATGGCAGAAAGGTTTTGTAGAAAGGTGCCAAGAGAACATGATGCAATGCAAATATTGCAGCAACTATACGGGCACAAAAAGTTAAACGTCGGCACGCCGGTCTCCAATTTTGCAATGTCGAGTCTATTGATTCCATTTGATTTCGAGTTCACTAGCCCCTGACCTGATTGCCAAACCAGGATCCCAGCCTCAGAAAGTAAAGCTAGGTTAATATGACCAATGGCAACACAAATGATTGTTGCTCCATTGGCGAACAAAAAGAAAAAGCACACTGCCTGGAATAAATCAACCGATCAGCAAGTTCGAGCGCATGCATGTGCATTCACTGACCGATGTGATGTAGTCAAAGAAGCCACATGTCCCCCTAAATTTGTATCATTTTGCATCTTTAGAGCTTGCACAAGCACACCAATCACCACCTGTCGCTTAGAGTCAGGCTGTGGTCCACATTACCCATCAAAGCCCTGGCTGCGACAGGGATACACTAGCAGTCGGGGTACGCAAGCCGTGGTCAACATGGTTGTAAGCAGCCATTGGCCAACATGTCCCGCAACTGGTAAACATTGTAGGAGATCTTGGGCGGGGTTGTGCTCATTGGGCTCGTTTTATGACTACATAAAACTCCTCTTTCTACTTAACCCCCTTGAATGATTTTTCTTTAGTCGTTCGCTCGACAGGTGTTGAGGGTAGGGCATCACCATGGTGAAGGTGGACTTCGGCAAAGGCATTCCCATGGGGTCCTCAGGTCGAGACGAGGGAATGCTGATTGGTCCGTAGTCTAGGAGTCCAGGGCCTATTATATGGTGTATGGAAAAGTTGAGCACAGAAAAAATATTGGCAGTAATTAACCTCTCTCTTTGTTGCGGAGTTTAAAATGTGAGCGCCACTACCTTCCAAACAACATCAAACAACTGTGCGCAGCAGCAAGGCAGGATAATTTGAAAGGACCTCTGAGGGCTTCCTGATCAATGGGCCATTCCAGAACTGTGGGCCATCCCAGAACTTGCCACTTCTGAGTAGCATGACTGGATCCTACCTGCCACCAAGACCCCTTAAAGGCATTTTTTGTCACAATCTACTGACAACAACAGCATGGACCATGGAGTTCTTTTCTGGTTCCAAGGCGGTGCAGGACTTGATGTATCTCCGTTTGCCAGTGCAAAGTGCTTTAAGTGGAAAGAGATCTGCTTCATTCACCTTGAGATGTTCTGCTCTCCAACGGTCTGCTGTTGCATCAGCTTGTGGCAGCGGCTCTTTCACTGAGGCGCCACACCGTGAGGCTTGCCAAAGAAGACTGTGCTAAAAATAGGCATGCGTATCGCGTCAGCCAATTCTGCTCGGAATAGTCCTTCAGCAGGGACAGGTGCAGGGGGTGCGGTTCTTGGACTTGACAAACAAGTTGACATGTCGATACTGATCATTGCAAAGAATGTCTCTAAGGCATCAGAGTTGTCACTGCTAATCACCACGCGTGGATATCATCCAAAGGATGCAGCAAGGCATAACCCATGGTCAACCAGGCTTGGATGTCTATCTTCACCCGGGATCTACAGAACAATACACAATGGGCGTAGGCTGTGCCTGGATTGATGGTTCTAGAACCATCATACCTTGAACTATTTAAATTGAAATACCTTCGCCTGGGCCTACAGGATCCAGAAAAGTGCTGAGACTTGCACAGTCCCCGGGTGGCTGGGTGCTGCAAAAACCACTTCATCAACTTCTGACAAACGTACATCACACAACAAAGCAGAATGCCTCAAATCAAAAGGCTTGCATAGGCTTTCTATGGATTTGAACATTTGTACATATTCGTACTGCATGCTTATTTGCCGCTCCCTCCAGACTCACTCCTTCAGGAAAAGGATAGGTGGTTGATAAATGGTGAAGTTTCGCCTTGCAGATCGAAAACGTTCAAAGCGGCCCGTTGAAGTGGAAGAAGATGTGGGTCACCTTCTGTGAGGATTTTTGCAACGTCGCCCTGCTTCAGGACTGCGATGCTGGTGACGTATGACTGAGAGGTGATGAGAGTAGTTGTTGGCAATCTGATTCTAGGTGGTCAAAATACTGTAGAATACTTCCTATATATATGGACTGCCGATCGCTATCTGTCTAGATGTGTTGCCTGTTGATGTCAATGTACTTGCTGTATCCAGGTATCGCGCTTGGCTCCCGTGTTGAGAAACGCGAAGGTCACCGCAGGAAAATACTCTGGGTGGAACCTTGCGCGGGCCAAAGGTGGAGGAGACCAAATCACTCAGCCTTGGCCCTTCTGTCTGATTTGTATAGTAGCCACTCCAACTACTTGCTTGTTTGACTTGAAAAGCATCACTTCACGGTCCGCCCAAAGAGCCAGTGACGGACGAGTTCCAAGACTTTTAGCTCGTCTCGAGGCCCAAACCAGCTGTCCACCGTGGTGCGTGTCACCAAAATAAGGTGGTCTGAGGCTTTGATAGTCTTCCCGCGATTCAAAAGCCAAGAGACCTCATGCGATCCGCTGAAAGACGGAGAAAATCACTCGGCCGTTGCAAGATAGACGTGACAAAGTGCAGAGAAAAAGGCGTTTCTACAATCTCTGAGGACTGGGTGCAAAACGACAACATCACCATCTCCAACCAACCCTTCCTTGATGCATTTCATGCACTTGGCTCACTCCAGTGTGGTGGACGACTGCTGTACCTAGTGTGAATCTACTGGAAATAAGATGACTTCCGTTGCAAATGCAAATGAAGGAATGAACCGTGTTTGTGAGGAGATCTACAGGAATTTCTCTTCCACGTACCTCCTAAATCTTTGGAGGGTCTTACGGTCTTCCGTTGTCCGTTTCATTGTGTCGAAGCTTGAAGGTTTCATAAATAAATAAATACATATATATATATATATGGGCGCGCGGACTTTCGGGCCCGCCTGGAAGCAATTGTTTGTGAATCATATGATCTAACTTTAATTGTTGTATATGCGTATTGTATTGCATCCTCTAACAAATCAATCCTCTGCTAACAAATCAATCCTTTGCTAACCACTCATTCATTTACTACAAAAGTAACGGTAGAACAAAATATACAATCTATCTGATCTACTTTAACCAATGTAATCAATGTCGACTTGTGATAGAGGGGGGGGTCGGTAGTATAGTCGAGGGTGAGGGGAAAGGGGGCCGTGGTGGTGAATTTTTACTCTTATGCGCCAGGGCCCCTTAGCATACTTTTCATTCAAAACCATAAGATTTTCACATACGACCAGCAAAGCAAAGGGCATTTTTACTGTGCGTCATCAAAAAATACATACAAACGCAACCTTGAAATGTCAAAGTAACAAACAAAAAAATTGCAAAGGGCAAACATGGAAAAACACCTGGATAACAAGGAAAACATGGAACCAGACTCATCCTTACCAGAGCTCTCCCTGAAAGAAAAGGACATGCAACTCCTTTTCTGCAAATTTCATAAACGTGCCATGGATACCGCTTCGCTGGATGTCTTGTTAATGCTGGTGACGACACATATGAAACCCGCAAGACCACCGCAAAACTCACAGAATAACCTAAGATAAACCCAACTATAACCTATTGCCAAACCAGTCCACAAAGTTTCACTCAGCCCAGTCTGTTCAGCATACTCTCAAAGTCAGTCTCAGTTTGTGGTAAACAATGATGAAAGGCACTTGAACATGTGATCCATGTCTCATAGTCATACTATTCATTTCACATGACATATTGATCCTTCTCACACACTTTCACAGTATTCAAAGCTGCACAAAGCTAGTGGCAAGACACTTCCCGCACAAACTGCACAAACGTGAGTGTGAGTGAGTGTGGGTGAGAATGAGAGTTAGTCTGAGTGAGAGTGGGTGAGAGTGAGAGTGAGTGTGAGTGAGGGTGGGAGAGTGAGTGAGTGAGTGAGTGTGAGTGCGAGTGTGAATGAGTGTGAGAGTGAGTGTGGGTGAGAGCGAGTGTGGGTGAGAGTGAGAGTGTGAGGGAGTGTGTGTCTGAGTGCGAGTGTGAGTGAGAGTGGGAGAGTGAGTGAGTGTGAGCGCTGAGTGTGTGTGTGCGTGAGAGTGAGAGTGAGAGAGAGTGGGAGAATGAGTGTGTGAGTGTGAGTGCGAGCGGAGTGTGAGTGAGAGTGAGTGTGGGTGAGAGTGAGTGTGAGAGTGAGTGTGAGAGTGAAGGTGGGTGAGTGAGTGTGGGCGAGAGTGAGTGTGAGTGAGAGTGAGTGTGAGTGAGAGAGGGAGAATGGGTGAGAGTGACAGTGCGAGAGTGAGTGAGTGTGGGTGTGAGAGAGTGAGTGTGAGTGTGAATGTGAGTGCGAGTGAAGAGTGAGTGTGAGTGTGAGCGTGTGTGAGTGAGTGAGAGTGAGGGTGAGAGTGAGAGAGTGAGAGAGAGCATGTGAGAGCACAAAGTGCTGCGCCTACGCCGAAATCTGCACGTCAAGGTTGTTCGAATTTTTAATGTTTAATATATGTAGTTTTTGTTTATTGTTTTTCACTTACTAGTTTTTGGAACATATCTTTAAAAAGTAAAAACATAGTAACCAGTCCCGGATCTGGTGGCCAAATCTGAAACCAATTAAATTCTTGTAATTAAATATTTCTTTTAACTCCCTTGTCCACTTCAGTAATGAAACGATATTAGAATAAATTAGAATATGAAAAGTCAATTACTAATTTAAATTCGAACAATATAAAGAAATGTTTGTTCCTTTGTAGCGTCACCGGCGCACAGGGTAGGCACACAGGGTATATTCTTCCCTCTTGGGGGGCCCTCCTCCTTCAAACCTCCTCCTCCTCCTCCTCCTTCAAGCCGGAGGTCATCTATGGTCACCGGTATCTACTAAAGTCTCGACAGAAAGGTTGCAATTGATACGCGGACTTTAACCTTCTGCATCACTAATCTCCCAACACCTCAAGCAATCTTCTCCACTTAGCCTCTCTGAGCTGCCCAAACCAGTGCTTCTTGAGAACGATGTGGAGGAGGCTTCTGCTCTTTATGTTTCCTTAACAAGCCGAAGGTGAAAGGACTTTCACAATCGTTTGCGCCGAAGAATTTTACATTGTAAGGTCATGCTTGCACATCCTTTTCCTGTTGGCCTGAGAGCCCTGGTCAGGCTGTCAAGAAAACTGAGTTTCACGAGATTGCTGAATTCTTCACTCCGCTCCTTCAATTCTTGACATTGCGGGGCTTATGAAGTCTCTTGGGTGAACCATGCCCACTGCAGCGAGCGTCTCGTTGGATCACTTGCAGTTTCCCGAGTCATGAAAACTGTCCCTGCACCTGCTTGGAAGTCACTTGCATGCCAAAAGAAACCCGTGTAAGATTCATGAATAGGTCCTCATCCCAGCACTCATTTGGGGATCACACAAGGGCAGTGTTTTATTCACCTCCAGCTCCAAGTTCAACAGCCTCAGAAATCGCGAACTCACACGACCTCACACGATCCTATCGGACGGGTGAAGCAGATCTGGGTGGGTCGCGACTTTGAAAAACAGTAATCATCATGCCGTTGCTTCTAGCTTCCGAATGTTGTTAAATGAAGTTCACAATCGGCCGCAAGGCTAAGATGCTAAGTTCTAGGGAAGCCTTACTATCATGTGAATGTAGCGTCTTGTCAGGCAAATATTGCTTGTTCGACTTGGTATAAGCCACGCAAAAAAAACTCAGCGCCCAACTCAATAGTTTTCAATTTCCTGGCAAAGTTCCTGTTCCATTCCTGGGCTGGGATCAGGCAGATGCAGGTAGACCTCACTTCACTAGGCATGTGACTCGTGTGGACATAAACATGGTAGCGTCCTTGCTCCTACCAGCGATGCCAAGAGCCCCTAGTAGCGTCCTTGCTCCTAGTAGATATACATATATATGACTGTAGATGTCCAATTTATCAAACAGCAAACTCCGCACCCCCCAAATATGATAGTTGAAACCCATGAATACGCAAGTACAAAACGCAACACGCCAGCAAGATTCGGGCAAGTGCGCTTCGTAAAGTTTGGCCTTGTGCTCGGACAGAGTTGCGAACGAAAAGTGTTCATTTGCAAGTCCTCTTGTGCTGTTGCCACAACGGCGGTGTTCATCTCGCCTTTCCACATGTTTTTGCCTTGTTAAAGGCAACAACAACTGAGCCCTTCGTGCTTGGAGGACAGAATGGCTTTATAGTGCTATATAAACACGGCCGCCGCTTCTTTTTGTACGCGTTGCAACGAGTTTGTCTAAAACATACGACAAAAAACTCCTCGGATGAATCCTCTTGGGGCCCCAACACTCTCAGCTCCCCGCCAAACCGAAGGAGAGAGCGTGCTCCCCGGTGCCCCTAAGGCCGCTACCGCCAAACCGGCGCCTTTCTCCAACCCATCGAAAAAACGGTTTTGGGGCGCGCTCCACGTCCCCTTGTCCTGGTCCCCTTCATGGGGACAGGCTCAAGGCCTTGACCTTGCTGCAGCGCTCTCCTAATACTTCTACTGCTTCCAACAAAAAGCGAGAGGGTTCCCCAACTCTGCTATACTGACGCATTTTTTCAAGCATACTTGCTGTAAGTGTTCAATGTCTTCAGCGTGCATGCCCCTGACTCTTCCAAAGCGGCGCATCTTGAAATGCAGACGCTCCCAATCTGTCAGCTCCTCTCTGGAGAAATGGGGATAGGAGCCATCCAGCCAAGTCTGGGTCCGACACACCCGTCTCGACTCGACCAATGAACCACACTGAAAAGCATATAGTGTCTTCCTCATACTTGTGTTCCATGTCAGCCCTTGTCGTTTCTGTCAACAGCCTCTCAATATCAGCCTCTTCATACTACTGCTTGCTCGTCAATGTCTCAGCCCCCAGCCCTGGTGCCCAGCCCGCTTCAAACCCAGCTGCGATGCTCCATTTGCCTCAACGCTCAATGACTGGGAAGTCTCTCCCCCCTTCCCAAATCTGCTATAGGCACCTCTTCACAAGTCTGTTGCTTCCTGCCACACTCATCTTCTTTCGTGGCGCTTATCTTATCTCTTGTCTTTTCCTTTTCCTGCTTTCTTCCCCTTCTCATCCTTTCCTTTTTCATCATGGCCGGAGGCTTTTGACTTGTCTTTCGTGCCTTTTCCTGTATCGCCTGTGCCCTCACTTCGGGCGCCATAGGGACGAGCGGAGATCTGGCGATTCTTTAAGTCTTCATGCGCCAGTTTTGAGGCTTCGGCCGCCTGAACCTCTGGGCCAATGCGACGTTCTAGGCGTTGACCACCTCCAATGAGCGCCGCGCATCTGCTGCTCTAACGCCTTGAAGCGTTGCGTCACAATGAAGCAGTCCGTCTCCTATAGCGCCCATAGAGACAAGGCCTCTTGCAACACGCTAGGCGTGGCTAAGCTCTGCAGCTGATAACGCTGCCAAACTCTTCTGCCCCTTTACCCCCCTTTCTTTGACTTTTTCTTTTTCTCTTTGCTCTTTGCATCGTCTGTGTCACCGCCGCTAAGAGTGGTTTTCTTCGCGTCCCCCACTCCGTTCCCTTTGCTCTCTGCCCTCTCCCTCAGTCGGGCTAACTCGTCCTCGCTGCCGTCCAGGGATGAGTGTATCGCCAAATTGGTGCGCCAATCTTTTGGCGCATTTTGGCGCCTTCTCTGTGGGCCAATACCCATTTGTTTGACACACATCCAGTGCCAGGCCTGTCTCAAGGGCTGCGCGAGTTGGCCACACAGATGGAGTTGCAAATTCCGCTTTTGGCCGAAGTGCTGAACGATGCGCTCGGTTTGCGTCCCACTCAACCTGACGGCCACGTAGTCAAGGTCTTTCCCTGGGCCAGTAGAGAAGCCAGCCGCTTCAACATAGGCAGCCAGAATACCATTGTCGACCAAAAAGTTCAACGCGCCCCAACTCCTTCACTTGCGTCGCAATGTCCAACGACCTGGCCGGGTGGCCCTGAAGCAGTCCGTCTCCTATAGCGCCTGTAGAGACAAGGCCTCTTGCAACACGCTAGGCGTGGCTAAGGTCTGCAGCTGATAACGCTGCCAAACTCTTCTGCCCCTTTCCGCCCCTTTCTTTGACTTTTTCTTTTTCTCTTTGCTCTTTGCATCGTCTGTGTCACCGCCGCTAAGAGTGGTTTTCTTCGCGTCCCCCACTCGTCCTCGCTGCCGTCCAGGGATGAGCGCGCCAATCTTTTGGCGCCTTCTCTGTGAGCCAATACCCATTTGCGTGAAACACATCCGGGCATGTCTCAAGAGCTGCGCGAGTTGGCCACACAATATGGAGTTGCAAATTCCGCTTTTGGGCCGAAGTGCTGAACGATGCGCTCGGTTTGCGTCCCACTCAACCTGAAGGCCACGTAGTCAAGGTCTTTCCCTGGGCGAGTAGATAAGCCAGCCGCTTCAACATAGGCAGCCAGAATACCATTGTCGACCGGAAAGTTCAATTCGCCCCAACTCCTTCAGTTGAGCAAGCTTGAGGTCTTGTAACAAATGGAGCTTCTGACGCAACCTTTCTTCATCTGCGGACAGGTCCTGAAGCCGCACGCAATATGGCGCAATCTGGGCACCATCACCACCAGCGTCGGTCACGTTCGTCTTTCAAACCCTGCTTCGCCCGCTTTGTCATGCCTTTGTTGACCCCGCACGACCAGCGCGGATGATCAAGCCCTGCATTGCGACCAGATCCAACCAGCGCCCCGAGGAACGGCCAGTGTGAACTGGTGTAAGCCGGCGGGGGTCTGGGCGGCGTATGTGGCGAGCAATGACTGCCTGGAGGGGATTGCGATGGGCTCTTTGGCTTGGGAGGTGGCGGGGGTAAGTTAAACTTGAGCTCCTTCTTCAAATCCTTGTTAGCTTTCCTCCTCTTCTTCTTCTTCTTCTACCTTTTCTCCCTCCTGCCTGAACTCGAAGTGGAGGTATGAACTCGAAGATCGACTCCTCTCCTCGTCCTTAAGGAGGTGGATTGGCCACGGGTGGCTTCCTGGCAGATGCTTTTGCGGTAGTGTCCTTTGGGTCTGGGTTCGGCAACTCTCCCTTGGAGGCGAATGAATCGGGTTCCGGGTTGGGTTGAACGGGTTTGCCTCTGCGAAGGTTTGGGTGCTGGCGGCCGAGGTGTCGACGGGGCTGATGGGAAAGAGGCTTCGGTCCCTCACCGTGGGGTCTCTGCACTGTATGACGGGGCTGATGTAAGCTGGTTGTTCCTGGCTGTCTCCTCACCCTCTGCCCCTTTCTTGATTGCTCTGCCTGCGCTGACTCGGTCGGTTGCACGGGCTGCAGCTCAACGGTAGATCGTCCTGCTTCTAACTCGCGAGCTCGTGAAAGGGCCTCAGCCCAACCAAATGCTCTATCCAAGAGCTGCAGTATCAAGGGCTCAGCCTCGACATGAAACACCTGCTGGATTGTCCGAACCAGCTGGTGCGACTTCCGGCAGACCAAACACACTGGAGAGCTCCCCTCTCTCACTGGGAACTTCTCACAGCGCAGGTGGATTCCCACCACCTCCCATCAACTCACCCTTTGAAGCCCAATGCTGCGGTACAATGAGAAATGGCTCTGTGTTCAATTATGGTGGCATGAATTCATACATTAACATTCTGACCGGTTGTGTGGATGTTCGACAAGAAAAAACATTTGCATGGTTCTGCAATGCCATACGTGCCACTGTGCTTCAACAACATGCTTCACAACCCTGTTTAAAGTAGATATGTGTAGATCAGTCTAGGAGGTTTAACTTTGGGAGTGGAAAATTGATTCATCCATCATCGAAGTGCCTCCTTTGAATCCTTGAGGACAAAGAACACGCTAACCTGCAGGGAACCACCCACCCACCCACACCCACACCCACTTACACACTCCATATCAACGCAAAAAGTGAATTGCATGTGCCTCTTGCATGTCTTATACTAAAACCATCTAAATCTTCAGAACTGCACCATCGTTCGACAACTTTCAACCAGTCATGAATCGTTCAGTGACCCCAAATGTCCCGTGGCTTTTGCTTGTTTTTGCTCAGTCCACGAAGACATGCGTGTCTTAATGCCTCGCTTGGCTTTGTGATGTTGAGACGCTTTCCCGTCCAAATATTGAATCGTCGCGACAGTCTTTCGTTCTGACCTTCAATCCTTCCGAAAACCCAAACACTGGAATAACCCCCATAGACTCCAGAAATGGCCGCTTGCAGCCAACAAGCTTCGGAGCTTTAGAGTCCCTTTATTACGCCAATCACCCTGCCTTCCTAGAGTACAGTATGTTTCCCTCAATCTATCATCTAATTTTTTGTGGGAACGTCTGCGACACGTGCGCCAAACCGCCTGCTTGGGTGCCATGGAAGAGGCACTGACGGACTCCAGCAAGCTGCCTGGAGTAAACCAGCCCTTCGCGGAATACCCTTAATAGCTTCTTGTTCCTAGTAGTGAGGCCAGGAGCCCCTAGTAGCGTCCTTGCTCCTAGTAGCGATGCCAGGAGCCCCTAGTATACTTGTTCCTAGTAGTAAGGCCAGGAGCCCCTAGTAGCGTCCTTGCTCCAAGTAGCGATGCCAGGAGCCCCTAGTAGCTTCTTGTTCCTTGTAGTAAGGCCAGCAGAGTCTCAGAAGCCTCCCCCAATCCCTGTGATTCAAGGCTCTGCAAATCCTACAATCATAGAGCCTGCCAATGAGAGTGCTTGCATACAGGAGTGAGGGCATGAAAATCCGTAAACCAGAAGAAGCATCAAGAGACATGTCGCCGCAATCATGGAGCAAGCGGAGCTGCTCAAAGCAGCATACAATTTCTCCCGATCACTCTGGCTTGTATTGGAACAACTTTGGGGAATCCCAAGCAGTCGACGATTAAACCAAGGCCATCAATCTAACCTTTCAACTGGGCCCCGTGCAAATCTCCTCCTTATCGCAAGACCTGAGATTGTAGAGTCCTCTCTGTTTGACCCTTCTGCAGTACTATGACCACAACTATAGCGATGGCCTCCAACATGATAGCAAAAGGAACCTAAGAGCGATGGTCTCCAACCTGGCGATGCCCTCCAACCCTTTTAAGCGATGGCCTCCAACCTAGTAGCGATGGCCCCCAACCTTTTAATAGCAATGGTCTCCAACCTAATAGCGATGGCCTCCAACCTAATAGCGGTGGCCTCCAACCTAATAGCGATGGCCTGCAACCGTATAGTATATTACTATCCACAACTTATTAACTCGTATTAATCATGACATCTTATGCCCATAACTATGCTCTGGAAATCCTCACATATGTCCCCGGCCCTACACATCGACTTCTTCCCATGTTAGCTGCGAACGAATGCTATTTTACCCCATTTTGGTTTGTTGGAAAACAGTACAGTACATGACACAGCTTGCCAGGCTGCACACCCTACTACGCATGACTACCAAATGTACTGTATGAGCCGTTGCCGTGCCGGCGAGTGGTGCCGGCACTGGTACGATTCAGGCTCGCCTTTTTTTCGTTATCATTTCCTGTTATTGTTCTGTATCTGTCTTGGAGCCTGGACCTAGTCAAAGTGTGTTGTATCCGCTTGTGTGGCACTGGTCTCCCATTGAGTCGGGCACAGCCAGCATGCCCATGCTGACAGAACGAACATGCAAGGACTAAACTCATGAGCACAGCTGATTCAGAGCACCATTTGCGCCATGTCTAATGCGAGTGAGTGAAAGAAACCCTTGCTGAGCAAAGTTCAACAACTAGACATCACAATTTGACTCTCACACTGCAGTAGATTCCATGTGGTATGAAGTATATTGAATTATGATAGTAGTAGCTGTAGCCTTTGATTTTCGCAGTGGTCCCTTTGAAACAAGAACAGCAACAACAACAACAACAACAACAACAACCACAATGACAACAACAACACTGTATTTACGATCTTTCCAGCTGCTTCAATTGATCTGTCTCACCAGGACCATTGAGCAACTATAGCAACCTATATTAGACCTCTCTTCGTTTTCTTGTATCTTTGTTTCGAATAGCAATGGCCTCCAACCTACTAAAAAACCCATAGTTGTGGACATCTGTGATGTTGCGTTTGAGCACGAGTTTAGCCCGGCTCCCGCCTGGGACTGTCTCAGATTCCTGAGCTTCCCCACGTGCAAAGGCCCGTCTCAACCACCACAAAGTGCTGCACCGCCCTCAGCAAACACAACAAAATATCGCTTCTGCAACATGCTCCAAAACAATGCCAAAATGGTGAACTCAGTAGTTTGGTCCTCCATGTAGACATCTGTTTTACAGCGCTTTGCAACTACAACTTGGAGGCGACATCATCAAACATAACAGACTGAATGTAGTTCCAAGCCCTAAAAAGCTGGTCTCCAGTCAAGTCCCTTTACCGCCCTCATTAAGTCCATACAATCTCTGTGGACCTGTTTCCATCTCTCATGAAGTGATCCCAGCTCTTTGCCTTCAAGAAACACACGACACAAAGCGCCAACAACGGTGAGTATTCCAGTCAGCTGGGAGCTCTACTCCCAGGGAACTGTTTCGTCCTTGGGTTGGTGCGGTCCATGAAGTGCCATGAACATGTGTGAAGAAAGGGAAGAACACCTTCCTTTGCTACTCAAAAACAGGACACTATAATATAAATATAAATATAAATATAAATATATATACGAAACGAAAGCCAGCTAGGTTCTTCCAGCTGCGGCTGCGGTCTGCTCTGTACGCAGGTCTCTATCTCCACTCGAGTCCTCTATGCCCATCGCCCAAATAGTTTCCAAAGCCCTTCGTGATGCTAATGATGCACTACTCGGCGTCCATTACATCACTCGCATCACCAGACCCCATTTTCACTGCTTTTCGGACCCTCGCTTTGGAGCGCTCTCCCCCACCAAGCTCTGCGTCCACCGTATCAAAAGCTCAAGCCTAGCCTATCGGCTGGCTTTCGTAATATATTTATTTACTATGTAATACTATAGATAATACCTACAACATTCAACTACAATCACTACATAAAACTACCAATGCCTCTGGTGTTGGATCCCTTTGTGTTCCTCCGGCACTATGAACATCCACATGCAAATGAAACAGCATCAAATAAATATATAGAGTCAGTAAGTAATTGCAAATACGATGGGGCACCAGCGCCATACTGCTGCCGGAACCTTGAGGACTTGTTCTACATATTTCTACCATTGGAACCAGCCAATGATACCATTGATCATACAATGCAAAGCATCAAATCAAACAGCGTCAAGCAGGTTCGTTTCGATCGAAAACGGCCGCCAAGTTCACTATAGATCTTAGATCTCCCGTCCTCGCTGGACGAGCTGGCGCTTTCCTTGGTGAAGGAAGCCACATGAAATGACTGTTGAGCAAACGTAGCAAACCAAATGATGTTCCATTTGTGGATGTGACACACAACCTTTAACTTTATCAAAACACACTAAAACTCTATGATCTTTGGGATTCATTTGGCAGCAATTTCTCAATTTCTCAGACCCCCATGTGTCCTGGTGCAAGGCCAAGTCTCCCAGGGGTCGCCCATGATCACCTTCCGCCCGCCACCGAAGCGCTTTGGCACCCTGGATGAGGTGTTCAGGAAGCTTGAAGGGTTGGGTAATTAAATTCTAATTCTTAGATCTTCTTGTTCCTAATAGTAAGGCCAGGAGCCCCTAGTACATCCTTGTTCCTAGTAGCGATGCCCTTGTTACTACTAGCAAGGACGCTACGTACTTATTTTGGTTCACCAGGAGGTCCACCCAAACTGTGTTGTTGTAGTGATTTTTAGTTAGAGTACTTAGTCAAAGGAAGTTTAGTGTGCAAAACTTCCGTGTTACGGACATTCAACAGCTGTTCAACCACCACTCATCATACACCACTCATCATACACCACTCATCATACACCACTCATCATACACTACTCATCATACACCACTCATCATACACGACTGATCACACACCACTCATCATACACCGCTCATACACCAGCTCTGGTTTCAACAGCTCAAGCTCCAGGCAACTCCAGCTCCAGGTGCAGATTTCGTGGCAGGTGCAGCACTTTGTGAACCTCCCTGTGCAGATTTCGTGGCAGGTGCAGCACTTTGTGAACCTCCATGTGCAGATGTCGTGGTAGGCGCAGCACTTTGTGAACCTCCATGTGCAGATTTCGTGGCAGGTGCAATACAAAATGCGTTGCGGAGAGATAGCGAACGCACGAAATGCTGTATTTTTCAATGGAACCGGTGGCTCCGAAGCTGGCAAGTCAAGGTCTGCGGAACGACGGTTGCGAGACGGTCTCGGGTCATGCTCGGATCATTCTCGGGCATGGTCGGAATCGTCCGTCCATTGGGATTAGAGGTTTCACTTGTTTCTTGAAGTGAAGATTTCGTGGCAGGTGCAGCACTTTGTGAACCTCCATGTGCAGATTTCGTGGCAGGTGCAGCACTTTGTGTACCTCCATGTGCAGATTTCCTGGCAGGCACAGCACTTTGGGAACCTCCATGCGCAGATTTCGTGGCAGGCGCAATACAAAATGCGTTGCGGAGAGATAGCGAACGCACGAAATGCTATATTTTTCAATGGAACCGGTGGCTCCGAAGCTGGCAAGTCAAGGTCTGCGGAACGACGGTTGCGAGACGGTCTCGGGTCATGCTCGGATCATTCTCGGATCATTCTCGGGCATGGTCGGAATCGTCCCTCCATTGGGATTAGAGTTTTCACTTGTTTCTTGAAGTGCAGATTTCGTGGCAGGCGCAGCACTTTGTGAACCTCCATGTGCAGATTTCGTGGCAGGTGCAGCACTTTGTGTACCTCCATGTGCAGATTTCGTGGCAGGCACAGCACTTTGTGAACCTCCATGTGCAGGTTTCGTGGCAGGCGCAGCACTTTGTGAACCTCCATGTGCAGATTTCGTGGCAGGCACAGCATCTGGGGAGCTGGAAGCTGAGAACTGGCGACTTTGTAGTACAACTTTAGTACGCGGAGTATCTGGCGAGCTGGACGATGAGAACTGGCGACTTTGTAGTACAACTTTAGTACGCGGAGTATCTGTGGAGCTGGAAGCTGAGAACTGGCGACTTTCTAGTACAACTTTAGTACGCGGAGCAATCTGTGCAGCTAGAAGCTGAGAACTGTCGACTTTCTAGTACAACTTTAGTACGCGGAGTATCTGTGGAGCTGGAAGTTGAGAACTGGCGACTTTCTAGTACAACTTTAGTACGCGGAGCAATCTGTAGAGCTGGAAGCTGAGAACTGGCGACTTTCTAGTACAACTTTAGTACGCGGAGCAATCTGTAGAGCTGGAAGCTGAGAACTGGCGACTTTCTAGTACAACTTTAGTACGCGGAGCAATCTGTAGAGCTGGAAGCTGAGAACTGGCGACTTTCTAGTACAACTTTAGTACGCGGAGCAATCTGTAGAGCTGGAGGCTGAGAACTGGCGACATTGTAGTACAACTTTAGTACGCGGAGTATCTGGCAAGCTGGACGATGAGAACTGGCGACTTTGTAGTACAACTTCAGTACGCGGAGCAATCTGTGCAGCTAGAAGCTGAGAACTGGCGACTTCGTAGCACAACTTTAGTACACGGAGTATCTGGCGAGCTGGACGAGGAGAACTGGCGACTTTGTAGTACAACTTTACTACGCGGAGTATCTGTGGAGCTGGATGGTGAGAACTGGCGACTTTCTAGT